ACATAGCTGTAGAAAGCGATGACAATGAAAAATAGAAAACGAAAGGACAGGTTTGCCTCTCGATGTGCGTCACGTGTCTACGTAAATCCGCAGCGTGTATTTACACGGCTCGTATTTACGCGGCTCGCGTATTTTCATTTTTTATAAATAAAGCGGTTGCGATCTTAATTGAGTATAAGTATAGCGTGGCGAATAGAAACTTTTGAGCATCATGGCGTGTTTCGAAGTTAAGTGTATGCAGAAAAATGTATCAGACTTTATTCTCAATTACTATTGACTAATTATCACACAATATTTCCGCAAAATTTGACGTGAAGTTTTGGTATTAGTCGTATCGTTTCTTTGCATCTTCTCTCTTGTGATTCATATATTTTGCAGCTAATTAATTATATGTAATTATAAATATTATGCCGACGTATTTCACCGATCGACGTAGAATTCAATATCGATGTGTCGAATCTGTGCAACAAGTTGCATAAACAATCGCGATAACAAACGGTATCGCGGCCATATCAATATCGCGCGATTTTAAAGTATGTCAGGGTGACAAAATACATACGTGTTATTAATGTCCTTATGGGCGGCGCGCACTGCCCTTGACAATAACTCGATAGCATCATCAGCGGGTGCACTTCTGTCTTTCCGCGCAATTTATCTTTTGCGCGTTTCGCGCAGACCTCGAAAGTCTGTAAGTGGCAATTTGCTTAAATCAAACTTCGTGTCAAAGCTATTAACATGTACCGGTAGATTTTGTTTGTCGAAGCTAATAGGCACTCAATCGAGAAATTATGTTTGTTCAGCTGTCATACGTGGGTTGCTTTTGCTAATAATGTTAATTACATCTTTTTGATGCATGTCGAGGATCCAGATGCAACTGCATCCACGTTATTTCTTAGCGAAAGAGAATTTTTGAAGGAAGTGCGCGCGATTCCCTTATTTTCTCCAAAATTATTATTTCGCGATTCTACGGATGCTAAATTATTCTAAGCTATTGTAAAGTCGAGATGATATTCTTGCATAAAATAGATTGAATATAATAAGCATTTATTAAAAACATCTCATTGGAATTTAATTGTCTTTTAAATACAAATATATATATATATATAAGAAAATATTTTTTTATCCATATTAAAAATTAATTTAAATGTAATCTGCGCAAGTAATTCTTATGCAATTATATAGTTCCTTTCAACAACATTCGAAAAAATATAAGTAAAGTAGAAACTATACTAATAATTTTTCAAAATTACATGTGCGCAATTCTTTAATTAGTGTGTCATATGAAAATGCAGTGTACAAAGTATAAGCATCTATCGTCATCATTTGCATTAACAAACATACGCTCGTTGAGATGATCGCGTCGATTTTGCCGCGCGAGAGATCGTGTGCGAGAGAAAGAGAGATGGGGTCTTTAAAGGACGCAGGGAAAGGGGGACCGTGTTCCTCCTGTCAAACGAGGGTGATGGACACCTCTCACTGTGGGAAGCTTACCAATACACCTTGGCGTCCTTCGGACAACACGCGCGTCCGCATGCGAGCTTGCAATTTACATGCAGACCTCGTACACGTACACGTAAGCGTGCTCTCCCCCACTCGCGATAAACACGAGCGCGTTTACGCCGGTAGCCTTCCGCGTGAACGCAACGAGATGAAACGCCTCCACCATCGCGCTGTGCCGGTCCAGCGCAGCATCCCCCACTTTCTAGCTTCCAACCACTGCTCCATTCTTCGAAGCGCGCACGCGGGTGCGTGTGTCACCGATGCTGGACCGACGAGCAAATGACGATCAACCGAATGACGCGTGTATTCACACGCGTGCGAGCACGCACTCCGGTTCGTCGCTAATGTTGGCGCATAGCGCGCCGCATGTACGCTATTGTGCGGGTGTATGTGTATAGAGCGCTTTATAACGTTTACCGTCAATGTCAGCGAATGTCCGCGATGAATTTGTAATCTATGCATATTTTTTAAATTTAATTTCGAATTTTTATAATACTTCGAAAAAAGCTTTTGTATCAAATTCTAAAAATTCTATAACACAAGGTATGTTTGCATATCGGAAGCTTAGATTATCATTCTAATAGATAGCCAATATATATGCTACATATTGAATTTTTATATTTGGAGAATTATGCAAATTCTAATTTATTTGAAAAACTCCGTGAACTTTAACGTTATTCTAATATTATAACATCTTATATTCTTATATTATGATGCAAATCTTACGAAATATATGTCGATCATAATTTTTGTAGAATCTCAAAATCACATTTATTGAAGACAGTCCACAATTATATATGTATATTATGTGTATGTTTATATAAGAAGAACGATAACAGTTTGATCGGAGCAATGACTTCTTCGGACATTCCGCGATATCGATTTATCTTCTCGAGTCGTCATACAGTCGTTATTCATAATCTCGTTGGTTGTGTGATAACTTTCCGTCCTGATTATAGTGATCTAATTTCAGTTCTTATGATTGTTTGGTATTTTTCGATTAGATAAGCGAAATGCAAAAAGCTTTGAAACGCTTCGATTAATTAAAACACACATGCTTTTCTCAAATCAGTCATCGATTAATACCACTTATTGTCTATGAATATTTATTTTTATTACAACTTAAACATAACGTCCGATATTTTTTATCTCTTATTATTTTTCATTTTAGTTTCTGTATTTATTATTGTTATGCCATTAACTGATCTCCATGGCTTATTTTCGCCAATATGCAAATTCGTGTTGGCGAAGTAGTTTAATGGCGTTCTATATCCACATAGCTAGATCTGGTATGTGACAACAGCTGGTGGCCTTCCACGTCGACGACTTTCTTCTACGTGGGCAGTCTCTTCGGCAATGTCGTGTTCGGTTGGATCGCCGACAAATGGGGCCGAAGAACAGCCTTCTTCGCCATCCTGTTCCTCGAGGTGATATTCTCCATCGCCACGAGCTTCAGTCCGAATTACGTGATCTACACCGCGCTGAGGACTGTGAATGGTCTCTTTTTTCCTGCCATTTATCAGATACCTTTTATACTTGGTAAGTTGATCACGCGTAATTTACAAGCTGTTTAATCATCAAATTTTAAGCAAAAATATACATGACCATACATGTACTACAACACAAAAGTTCAAGAAATATTTATAATCTACTTTGGACAATCTTTAATTTGCAACAAAATTTGAGATAAACTTGTAGAGAAATTTTATCTTTTAATTTTATACTTTATGTAATACAGAAAACACACAAAGAAATAAAATATACATACATATAAAATACATGCATAAAATCATCAATAGATTTATGTCTTGAATCTTTTTTTTTTTTACGAATTCAAGATTAAAAGCGAGCTTAAAAACAGAAAGAGAAGAGAGAATCAGAAAGATTACAACGTCTTTCTCTTCTTGCAAATAAAAGATCGACAAAATGACACTTCTAATTTCGTTGCAGCTCTCGAGCTGATGGGACCAAGATACCGAACATTTGCCGGGATGGTAATCTGTATGTTCTTCGCTACGGCAATGTCTCTTCTAGCATTGCTGGTAAGTATTCTCGTTCATAAAATGTGAAGAAACAAAATACAATTTACTGCAACGTTTCGTGACAAAAATCTCGACGTCGGGACACTCGCATGATCGCGTGAGGCGACAGCTCGTGCACAATAAACTTAACACGAGGGTGCAACGCGGATCATTTTGCAAGCGATTTATCAGCGTGCATCATATGATACAAGCGTATGCAAATGCGAGTGATTCGCCGCATGCAAATAGAAACATTCTGATGTCCCCGAAGCGACGCGCGCGAGAGAGATAAATAAATTCGGAATAATGTTTTTACGCCAAATTGCCTTATTAGTTTTAAATTTAGTAAAAGTTAAGATATTATTATATTTTATCAAAAATTAAATTTATTATATATATATTAAAATTATATTATAAGAGAGAAAAACTGTGTATTAAGGAAATATACGTGATGGAATTCGGAAATATGGCAAAAAAAAGATACAAAAGATTATTATTTTCCGTCTTCATTCGCTGGTATATGCTTTTATTTTTTCTTTCCGTCAGGGTTATTTGTTAAGGCACTGGTACACCTTATCGTTAGCCACATCGGTGCCTTTCATTCTTCTCTTCAGTTACTACTGGATCATCCCCGAGTCACCGCGGTGGCTTCTCAGTAAGAACAGAATAGACGAGGCGGAAGTAATCGTCCAGCATATGGCAAAAGTCAACGGCAAAACAGTGCCTACGAACTTTCTCAGAAAAATGGAGGTAATTTTGTTTGATATTTAATTATCATAATATATATATACATATTTCTCCGATTAGTTTTCATATAAACAATATATTATATTTTTTTCATTTTTCCAATATGATCGAGAGAATTATATAAAATTTAGCGATCATTATTTGTAGATAGAAATATTAAAGAGACAAGGAATATCGTGTAACGGTAAGAACTCCGACGGCAGCATCGATATGGAAAGCGAGAACAGATCGCCGCCGTCGTCCGCGACACCCATGGATCTGATTACGAATCCGAACATCAGAAAGAAATTCTTCATTCTCGCTTTCGATTGGGTGGCGAACGCGGTAGTGTACAACGGACTGTCTTACAACACGACCAATCTAGGTGTCTCCGATTACCTGGCTTTCTTTATCGGTAAAAGCTCCATTCTTCTCTCTCGCTCCTGGCTCGATTATCATAAATTTCATGATTTCATATCATCCGAAATGTATGAGATTTTTTGCTTATTTTCTGTAGGAGGTATCGTAGAGATTCCATCGTACTTCATTACGTGGTACGCGATGGACAGATTGGGCAGACGATGGGTATTATGCGTGACCATGATGCTGGGTGGGCTCGCTTGCGTGTCGTGTATGTTCGTGCCCGAAGGTATTACTTTGTCGATTCATCTCTTATTTTGATTGAAATCTTGTTCGATAAACAAAAAAGTAATTTTCTCTTTCAAACAATTTTGTCTTGAAATTATTATTATTATTTTGTTTTTAGATATTTATATACTCTTAATTATTTATTTTATCGTATTATTACAAATATTTTTAAAAAGCCGAAATGAATGATGACACATAAATGTATAATGTGTGACACTATTACTGCGCGTTGCTCATCTCCATATTATTTGATTATCTTCGCGGAATTGAATAAAAATATTAAGCCGAATCGCGCACTTCTGCGTCACGGCGGCCTCAAACGTCATTAGCTTATTGAATTCGTCATGATATTGTCACACTCACACACGTTCGATATGAGCGGGAATTACCGCCGCGCCGACGTCACAACGTTTATGAGTAAACGTTCGACCTGCTTATAAATTAGTTATTATCTGCATGCATAACTTCTCTTATTATATAGAAATCAACGAAATGTTTTAAGTTTTAAATTCCCCTCTTAAAAAGAGAGTCAACGAAAGAATTTAAGGCAATGAAATATGCAGTTCTATAATCCAGAGATTTAGGGAATATACAACTTATATACACGATCGGCCTTTGTCGCAGCAGACGCGGTCTGGATAACCGTAAGCCTGGCGATGATCGGGAAATTCGGCATCGCTGCGTCCTTCGCCGTCTTCTACGTCTTCGTCGGTGAGCTACTGCCGACCGTGCTAAGGTCTCAGGCGATGGGCATAGCTTCTTTCATCGCCGGCATCGGCCTCCTCACCTTTCCCTACATCGTTCATTTGGCGGT